TCCAGACTTGCAGGTTTTTTTGTGGGAAACTGGGCCAGTACCCTCTCAACTTTCTCCAAAGTTACATAGTTGTGAGGTTGAATAAAGTCCATCAAGTCCATTAAGAAATCGTCCAAAAGTTTCTTGAACTTATTTGCTGAAATCACCGCCTGTGGCAGTGAGTTCCAGACCCTAACTGATCTTAATGTAAAGAACCCCCTTCGCCCCATGTGCTGGAATTTTTTTTTCCACCAATTTTAGGTGGTGGCCTCTAGTTACATTTGTTAATGTTAAAGACACAGGTCCATCCAGTGTGTGTTTACCTGTGTAGGATGCACTAAGAATTTCCATACCTCTGTATATTGTGTTCCCTGAGGAAGACATCTAGAAGTTTATTAAATGTGTCTATACTCTCAGCTGACACCTGTGCCTGAGAAAGAGAGTTCTGTAAATAGTGTGTTACTGATTCTAAAATCACCATTCAACAATTTGTAAACGGAATTCATATCTCCACTTAGACATGTTAGCCGGCAAAAAATTTGGTCTGGTTTGTTCAAATTTTTCGTTATTTCGTTTTTCAGGATTTGGGTCCGAAAGGTTTCGGGATTCCGATTCTGAATTTTCATTGCAGCAAAGTAAAATTAGGAAAAAAGTGACTTTTTATTTTTAACTTTTGACAGACCACAGTAACAAGCCAAAAAAAACCCAGCGTGGGTCCCCACCCTCACCAATTCGTACCAGACCCTTTAGGTCTTGTGCGAATTTTAGTGGGACTCTAAAATGTTACTGTATTTTGTGAATGAGTAGGGGGTAACAACTATACCTTACTCATTCAAAAAGGGGGGGGGGCGGCATCTGGGAGCCTCCTGTATTGCTTACTGGTCCAGCTGCTTTAGGCATTGCTGCATTTCTCACCTGCTGTTTAGTATAATTTGCTTTATGACTAGTTCCTGCCCAGCTTCCCAATTTACCTTTCTATTTAGGCCACTGTCTGCTGAGTAGGGTGAACCTGGGGTTAGCATGCAGTGAAACCTGTCTCCACCATCATGAACTCTAGTGAACACCGGCTAACTCTTAAGACTCCATGCCCCAGGGGATCCCACACTGCCTGCTAAGGCACTGTGGCACTCCGGATTGGCCTCTGTCTTCCATTTGCATCTTATTACATCAGCTTCGGCTTCCAGCTGCCCTTCCAGTTCCACAGATCCCGTCCACGGTTGTGTCCTCTCCTTGCTCCTGGGGTTGTTGGCCTACACTACTCACAACCAACCAACTACCCAAGGTGCCCCGTATGTGTGGCCTCCTTTTGTTCCTGATGGGAACTTTATCCATTAGCTTAGTGCATGTTTATATACAGGTACTAGTGAATAAATGTAGGCAATGTCTGCCGGGGGCTACACCACGCCGTGCAAACACTGCTCTTAGCCCCATGAGCCCACTTCTGCCATGATGGGAGTGGTGTACTATGCCCCAAACTCTGGATAATTGGGCTTTACGCACCACCTAATGCACATGGAGCATACAAGGGCATTCTAATAATGTGTGGCGTCTCCAACATGATTACATAACCCCACATTGACCAAAAGGGCCCTATGAAAAGGACACCTCCCCGACAGATATCTTATACTGTAAACAACTTAGGACTCTCCTAGACCAATTCTACTTAGTGCATACAAGACAGGAAATGCATCCCTCAACTTCTGACTTTACATTGTATTCACACCCCCATGTCTCTTTTTCCCTGTATCAAGCACATCACCCTCACGCACACTGCCCTCCCAAGCCTTTCCTCAGCAGTGATCTTACCAACCCCCTGCACAGATCACAATACCACCATCAATCTGAATTCCTGGTTGACTAGGCCGACTACCTATTTAATGATCTCTCTGTCTCTTTTAAATTAGAAACCACCATTCAGTAGTAGAAGTTTCTGTTCAATGCCAGAATGGCAGAATTACCAGTTACACTGTGGGAAGCCCATAAGGCTGCACTGAGAGTAGTGTTGATCCAACAAGCTTGGCAGCAGTGCAAACGCAGAGAGCTCCGATTTAATGAGCCGGAGACTGAGTTTGCCTAAGGCTCTGCTTGATTTAAAGCTAACCCTACCCTTGTGGCCCGGTCTGAACTCTACCATATCAAAACAGAGTTGAATCTCTGCCTCGTGCATCAAGCCAAAAACGTTCTCCACAACATAGATTTTATCTCAAGGGTAATAAGCCTGACTCCATCCTTGCCAATAGTCTGCATACTACTAATCAAGCATACAAACCTTCAATGCTTAGCAAAGAAGTAGGCCACCTCACTTATAACCCAGCATCCATCCTGAAGATATTTTGTCCTGGTGTACCTGTATTCCAAACCAGTTCTGTCTGATGCTGAGATTACTCCAATGCAAGTTATTTGAGCAATCAAACTCAATAAACCTCACAAAAAACAGACCCAGAGGGCTTTATGGTCAGCCAGTATAAAAAATATGAGACCTTTTGTCACCTAATTTGGTGTGTATGTTGTGGCATTGCGTGGCAATACCACGGTGTTAGGTGCCCTCTAAGTGACCCAGGATTCTCAGCCAGAGAGGCTGAGTGGCTCCAGGAAGCAATTGCTTGTATCAGGAAAGAGCTGGATTTTCAGTCCTTTCTGTCTTTTCTGGATCATAGTTGGGTTCCTGGAGCTGGGGCATTTCTTAGAGCTCTGGGTGGGATGAAATCTCCATTCCTGGGCCCATGCTTTAGTAGCAACCAGCACCTAATGGTGCACCTGTGTAAAACCCTCATGAAGGGGGTGCTGGGATGTGGTCAGGGCCCCACCTGGGAGACACTCTGACTCCACCCAGGAGTCAGAGTGGAGGCCAGTGCAGCAGGGAGCTGTGGGTTTGTGAAACCAATTGTGCAGGTTAGCACGTTAGTGATGTTGTCTGGAGGAAACAGACAGTGGCCCTGAGGATTGAGGCCGCAGCAGCCTTGGTGCAAGAGAAGACTGTTAAAGGACTGGAACACTGTGAGTGTGTGGGACAACTCAAGGATTGGTGAGCCAATATATGTTATATGCTGAAGACAAGCTATTTTATGTTGGACTTCCTTTATTGTCTGCCTTTGAAAGAATAATAAATACTTTTGGTTAATGAAAAAACCCTGTGTAAGTGCTCTGTGAGCTCCCCAACATTACAATGTTTAACACCGTTTGAACAGGGGACATATTTCCTAGATCCTCCTTAGAAGCATCCATCTGTATGTCGCCGAAACTGGATGGTGATGCTACTTCCTGGTTCAATTTCCAAGCAATCTCCCTTATCACTGTGGACATTAAACTCTTGGCCAAAATCCTAGCCAATTGCCTGAACAATCATTCTGACTGTTTTCCTATTGAATGCGGAATGAGACAGGGTTGCCCTGTCTCCACTATTATCTTCTTTGGGGATAGAGCCTCTAGATCCTAGTAAGGATATCGACTAATATCAAAAGGGTTGAAGTGGCGGCCAACACCACAGGCCCAGGACCCTCACCACATTAAACAGTTTAAAAAAAAAAATTCTGCATTGGAAAAAGTCCCCCATCCCAGTGCCCAGCTCCCATGCCCTTTGTTTGAAAGTCCCTTGCCCATAAGTCTTACAAATTACCAGAATTGATTTTCAAGATTTGCTCCACATTGATTTTAATGGGGTTGAAATCTGCCATGAGGTTTGATGTACAATCCTATTTGCTGATCCTTCTGCCAATATCAGCAGCAAATTGACAAACTCTGTCTGACTGAGCTCTGTCAATTTGCCGCAGGTACTGGCGCAACAACACATTGGCTGTTTTTACCACACATGCTCCGGTTAAAGATAGGTGATTAACTACATACACAAGTATATTTAACCAGGACTATGTGTACTTGTATCTGGGGTGGTAGGTTTTCAGAAACAGAGCAGATAATCAGCCCCAATCTGCTCAAAAATGACAAACAATTGAGATTGGCTAACAGGGCCATTGGTGCCTGATTATATTTCCCAACTCTGTAGTGGAAGCATTAATATATCACTCATTCCTCTGCTCTGTCCCCTACTTGTTTCCTCTACTTTGTTCATACTGACCCCTTCTGTCACCTAAATCTCTTACTTCTCCTAATTCCTCAGTCATTGCTGTTGATTCTCTGTTCTTCCCTTTGATTTAACTAGAAAATGCCTCATGGGATGAAACCACTGGTTGATCTTACTAAATCCCCATAATGTGTCAGCTGTCTTAGCTGTTAACTCATGACACCTTTTTGGAATGCTGGTAGTAGAGCTAAAGTCATTATAGAATTTCTCAAGTGTTTAATTTGATATGCGTACTCCATTTCACATTAATGCTTGTCAAGCCGGACATTTGTTGCAATTTTGTGGTGTATTTCAGGTGGAAAATAAATAACACAGCCACAACCTACCTGCTCAGGCCTGCAAGATCAGGCCAGTGATCTGGAAACCCCTGCTTGGGATGCATTGTAATTATTCCCAAACACACCCATTGCAGGCTCCTTGCTGTCTCTCCTATACAGAAAACTATATTTAAAAAATATGTCCATACATGCCTGTACTGTGCAGAGGAGAAAAAGGGAAAAGAGCCACTTGTATAATTCGGTGTAAGGGGAGCACATTGTAGTGAAAGCCACAATGGAGATCCCTTAGAGGGGGCCCCAGTGAGGAACAGTGAGTGCATAGGGCCCACAATAGGCATCATCCTCTTTAAGGACTTAAGTTCCTATTCAGCTTATGTTTTACAGAGAAAACACTAATTGGCGTAACTTCATCAAATGTCTGTGGATTGATATCTATTTCATAATTTACTTTAAAATACCATTTGTGTAAAAAAATGTGTGTGAATGCCTTTGTGTATTCATTCATTATAAAACACACATTTTCAGTTTTTGCAAAGGCATCTTGTGCAAAATGTTTAGTGATGCTAGAATAAACTACTCAGAGACCTTTGCCCATCTAATGAAAACTGTTAGTTTGTTACAGACTGTTATGACAGGCATTGAAAACTTCTCTGTTTCTCTCTTACCTCATATTTGGAGAGGAGTTTGGTGAGTGCCGCATTCCTCCATTCCGCTGCTTTTTCTTAGGTGACAATGCTGATGGCTGCTCATCTTCAACTGCAAACACAGGCAAAGCAGGCAAAGTGGTCAGGCAGGGGGGATTGAGGACTGTAGACAGAAAACAACAAGAAACTAACAGAAAAAGAACAGAGGTGAAGGGATTACACACAACATAGAACAAGCCAATCACTCACAGTTTACCACCACTAGACTAAAATGAGTAGTTCGAGAGCTATTAGTAAACCATATAATCACATTATAATGTGAGATTGAAAGCGGATCAGTCTAAGACAATACATGTTTTGTTAAAACAGGCGGTCAGTTATAATTCATGCAGGATCTCCTTCATGAAGCAATGAATTTCTGACAGGAGTAAAACTCTTGTATGTCATTAGTGACTACAAAAGCAGTGTAACTGAAAGCACCTTCTACAAAATATGAAAAATAGCTATATTGTCAGGAACACAGGTTTGCAAACTAGTCAAGTTATTAAGGATTATTTGTGTTATAAAACTACTAACACATTGAAGACATATGGAAAAAATCGACAAAATATTTTAGGCATCTACTAACTGGTGTAACAATAGCTAAACTGGTGTAACCTATCATGATTAAAAGGGAAAATACATCCACATAGCTCGCACTACTTCGCTTTAAAAATTCTAAAAGCAAATAATCCCAATTAACTATTTTAGTTGAGCACTGCACAGTACTACCAATTATTTAATGTGCTGAGAGGGTGCACAACTACCCAATGAGATTATTACCTATATATAGATATATATATCTAGATATATATCATGCTATTTAAAAACAAATAGAGAATTTAAATGAAATTACATAGTATAAACAAACTACTGATGACTATCACTGCGGTATTGCACAACATCAGCTATACTGTATATGGCAATCAAACATGAATTCTATTGCCAAATGTTAATTCTCTGTTACGATTGTTCCACTAATGGGCAATTGAATTGCCAATGCTTGCATATTCATGCCTATAGAAGGAAAATGGCCAGGCACCCCCACGGTTGGTATCAATGCCTCATTCACAGGCTCTGCAGATAACTCTTAATAAAAGCACACACCGCAGATTATATTCATTCACACCATGTTTCTTCTATTTCCTTCTACTGCAAGGTTTAAAACCACATGATATATATGCGTTTTCACTCTCTATTAGCCATTATGCAATGTCAGCCTCCATGTTAAATATATCCTGGGAAGACTAACTTAATCTCCAATTACCTCCTCCCATACTGTATTTCTAGATTTGTACTGTTAGCTGTTTGTTCTATTAATTAAACCCTCAAGGGGTCTGCAACATACTGGATTAGCATGGGCTTGATTTTCAGGGCCCTGCTGAACAATTTAAAGCACTGTTAACCTGTTAATGGCCCACTTTTTACAGAAAGGGGATGCTGTTCAACAAAGCAATCAAGACCAGCGGTAAGCAACAAATTATTAATACCATCAACTGGAGAACTGTGTCATGCATCAAAACTTTTATCTCTGCATACAACAAATAAAACCAATTCAAGCACTTAGTTGTGAAATTATTGTCTAAATTTGTATTACTCTTCTTGTTGCCGCATGCCATGTGCTTTTAATGTGCACAAATAAATGTCCTGCCTAAATTTCCTGATACTAACATAGCTAAAGTTACCTTTGAAAAAGTTATATACAGCTGTGCTATGAGGTAGTAATTATTAT